TAAGATAAATTTCTCTAAGTTTTTTTTTTCTCTTGTTAGAATTTTTGACACTTTTTCTGTTTGTCTCAGTATTACACAAAAAATAACTCTATTATGGAGGCCTAAGTCCAGCTTTGACTTTAATTTTTATGCCACTGAAGTGGCAAACAAGCATGCGGCCCACATTTGAGACGTGTTAATTAACTACATATTCCATTGTAACCGCCATGCCTTACACTTCGTTAAGTAATACAATCACATAAATTATTTAGCCTCCGAACCTGAATACCCTGAACTATTAGATATTCTGTTACCTTATCTGAATTTCAAAGCATATCTATTGGAAGAGTATATATAGTACGGTAAGAATATCTTATTGGTATAACGATATTTCTTTATGCAACTTAGAATGGCAAACAAGCTGACGGCCCACCTGATGATAAGCGGTTACCATAGCCTATGAACGCCTGCAATACTAGGGATATTACGCGCCCGTTGCCGACTCTGATGAAACCTCTTTACTCCCCTTTTGGAGATAGCCCAAGCTGTAGTCTCTTGGGAAAACCTCGGCAGGAAGCTCATTCCATAACCTGAGTGTTCGAGGGAGATAACATCGTGTTGTAGGGGATCATCTCGGTGGTAAGATATGAGAGTGAACTCCCTGACGATGGTAGAAAGTGGCCGTGGGCATCATTTTGAACAATTCCTCTGGGCACAATCTTGTATAAGCGGTAATAACAGAGTATACTATTTCGTCTATGATACTCCCCATCATTGCCATTTCTAAGGACTCAGGTGTTATTCCTCTGTACCCAGTAAATTCACGCCACATCCCACCCTTCAAACCGAAACACAGCCGTGCAAACACAACTGCTTCACGGTAGAAACTCGAACGTGACAGATGTGCCCAATCAAACGACTTTTGTACAAAGTCTCCCTCGTCATAGTCGTAGACGGATCTGTAATATATCCGTCATAGTCGTAGATATAAAAAATACAATAGACAGTGGCAATCGCCATATCATCATCATATCACTCACTCTTTTTTTTTTTTTTGCCTCACTCTGCGTGTTCTACCGCTTATACAACGGATTGTGCTCAGATTATTCAATATGATGCCTACGTATTCTCGGCACACCCTCATACCTTACAGCCTAAATGGTCGCGTACAACGCATATAAAAAATGGAATACAAGAGACTAGACTTCAAAAGTGGCAATCGTCATATCATCATCATATATCAGCCTTTAACTGTCCACTGTTGAACATAAGCTTCCTCCTTGAGGGGGGGGGGGAGGTTTGCTAGTAGTTGCCACACTTAGCAAGCGGATTGGCAACTGCAGTTAGCCTTTGGAGATGTTTTAAGAGAGACGCTGCTGCCCATCCCTCGCTCTCCCTTAGTCGCCTCTTACGACACCTACGGGAAAGGAAGGGATGGCCTATTCTTTACCGGGACCATTTATATGTACTATTAAGTACTTATATGTATTAAATAAATAATAAACAAGAAAACATGAGCAGACTAATCCCCACAAGCAGGGGGAAAGGGGTTGTTAGCAATGGAGTTTGACAGCCCCGTTGTTAGCAATATGCCCTATTAGGTCGACCTCCATGTGGTTCCCTCTGGAAACCATCGTGAACAATTCTTATTGAATTCGTCACGATGGGCTAACTGACCTGCTTCATCCTCATCTATCATTCCTCACCGGTGCCCCGCCGGTGTATACCGATAGCGCGGGTAGGGTTACCTTTACATTATCACCCATTAAAAAAATCCCCACAAGCAACACCCGTTCACGAGTATGACAAATGAGACAACAGTCATTGCGCTCAACTATATATTAGGAAACTTCTGTATACAACATATGTGTATCATTTACTCAAACTTGAGAGATAGGATAGTTTTTATCCTGGATAAGAAGAAATGGAGCCGGATGCCGATAAGGGGCAAAACAAAACAACATTTGCCGAATCAGCCAGTACGCAGAATTAGAACGTAGTGTCAGCAATCAGATTAATAATATCAACTGTGTTACGGAAATAAATACAGTTAGATTTTTTTATTATTATTTTTGATTATATAATCACAGTCATAGATTATTTAAAAAGTTTGGCAGCTCCTACCTTTATCGAACAATCGAATTATGGAATTCCCTTCCTTCCTGGAGTTTCCTTCCTTATGTATCCTGTTTAACTCGGATCCCTTCAAGAAAGGCGTGGAAGTGTTTATATAAGCTTGCATTCCATCTAATGACTGGCATCCCTCTAACCTACGGTCCAGTGAGGACCGCAGGATATCTTCCATTGGATTTGTGTCCCACACAGGTTTTATAATCACTTATATCAATTATGCCAATATTTAAAAAAAAAAATAAGAAAGGAAGTAAATACTTTATAATAAAATTTAGTCCAAATTTTTTGGTTATTTTATAAAAAAAGGAGTCCTGATTGAGTATTATTATGTTCCATATAAAAAAAACCTTGACTTTAACTGTGGTAAAATTATTATGATTTAAAATATAAACCACTGAAATTATTTAAAAAAAAAAAACATCTATAAGACCAACCTGTAACTATATCCTTTCAGATAAAAAAAGAATTATCCGAATCGGATCACAACTGAGTCAGAGTTATGAGGTAATAAACATAAAAAAATAACAAATTGAGAGAACCTTCTTTTTTTATAATTTATTAAATCCAAAAATACATGTTTCAATTTTACATTTTTTCATTTTAAATTTACATTTGATTTCCTGTGTCGTGAAGTCTTGGACCCTCTTCTAATTACAAAATTTATTTTTATACAACTTAGAATGGCAAACAAGCTAACGGCCCACCTGATGGAAAGTGGTAACCGTCGCCTATAGACATGAGCAGTACCATGGACATAACAGAGTATACTGTTTCGCCCATGATACCCCCCATGCGTTACCATTCCTGAGGAGTCAGGTGTTATTCCTCTGCACCCAGTAAATTCACGCCATATAACATCCTTCAAACCGAAACACAGCCATGCAAACACAACTGCTTCACGGTTGAAACACGAATGGGACAGAGGTACCCAAGCAATCGACTTTTGTACCAAGTCTCCCTCTGGTAACTAATTATACTTATTAACTAATATATGAACTTACTAACTAATATAATATATAAACTTTAGATACATAAACAATTTAGATTTATACACATTTTTTTTAAAGTCTATTTGTCAATAACCTTACCTTAAAAATATATATTTTCACTTATCCAAGAGCAGAGACATAAAAAAGACTGATGTCCACATTATTACGATAGCATTTAGTCTCTCTGTAATGGTTTTATAGCGAAATATGTGTATTTGCATTGAAATCCAGAACAAACGGAGTACTTAACCTACATTTGCTGTACAGAAGAGCCGAAATGCGACTGTAATAACCAGACGTTACAACAGTACTGCGTCAGCGAGACTAGTAGTTACTCTTCTTAGACAAATACTAGCGGTCCGCCCCGGCATCGCACGGGTAGACAGATAAAAAATTAATTAGTCTTTTATAATAGTGTTAATAGGTAAATTTATGACAGAATTATATTTTTATAAAAAAAAGGCATAGCCTATACTACTCGCTGATAATTTAGCTTTCTATAGGTGAAAAACATTTTAAAATCTGTCAAGTAAATTTTGAGTTTTACCATTACAAATAGACATACAAAAACGAGATATCTATAGAGTTGTTACAAGTAGATTTTGTTTAACAATAAAAAATAAATCAGTTTCAACTGTGAAAAAACTAGAACATTTATCGATTTTGACGAAATAATTTCTAATATTATTTTAACAAAATGTGATAACGTAATTTATTACATTACGTTATCACATTTTGTTAGGTTAATATTTACTTTTTTAAAATTTAATATGACCCCGCTCATTTAAATTTTATTTATTAATATAAATGAAATTTAAATAGGCGGTCATTGCACTCTTACATTGACAACGTGTCCCATCCAATATTTTTCACTTTGCTATTAAAAAAAAAGGTTTATTAATGACCGAGTTCTGAGTTACAAATTTTAAAAAAGGAATTGAGAATTTTGTCCTTCATTTTCAACTTGATTATTATTTGAATTTAGAACGTGCTTATTAAAAAAATAATATAGGACTATAACAATAACTCCTCGAATAGTTTAAATTATTATTTTTTCTAAACCAATACCTGACAATAGATGGCGTAAAAAATAAATACGCAGAAAATTTGTTTTTTTTTTTTCTTTTTCTATTTAAAAGAACAAAACTGTTATAGCAACGTGTGGTCGAAATATACGTCGCAGGGCAGTCGTACATTTTTTCTTCCTACCTCTCACAGAGTTAAAATCTAATTTTCCATCTGTCAAAGAGTCCGTTCAGATCTATCGGTTCATTAAGCCGGTCCTTCTGGCCGGTCTGTGCACCGGATTTGTCGGGACACGGCAAAAATTTCGGTGAATTTCACCTTATATTCTTACCTGTCGGTAGAGGACGGAAGAAGGCTATTTGATGGGATAATAAAATTTATGCTTGTACGAGTATACACACAGCAAGTAAGGGCATACTTTATTTTTATGTAAACTTTATTGTAGGCGATTATGTTTTAAAAATGATTATTCAACTGATATTTTTATGACTAATATAGTCACGGAATTACATTCTTAATACTTTTTGTTACTTTACGATAAATATCTGTGTATGTGTGCGTGCGTGCGTGCGTGCGTGCGTGCGTGCGTGCGTGCGTGCGTGTGTGTGTGTGTGTGTGTGTGTGTGTGTGTGTGTGTGTGTGTGTGTGCGCGCGCGTGTGCGTGTGCGTTCGTGAGTGTGTGTGCGTATATGCGTGTATGAGAATGTGCACGCGCGTGCGTATGTGTGCGTGTGTGTGTACTTTCTTGTGGAAAAATTGCCAAATGGAAAAATGTAATTTTGCCACATTTACTTTTAAATTAAATAATTTTCCGATAAACACTAGGACAATAGTTTATAAAATCAATTTTTTAATACTTATTTTTTTTTCCAGAGTGGTGGGGCGCCCGCACGTTCTGCTGTGACACAGACGAGTGTAACGCGGGCTACACCCTGTACCCTGCGACGGGTTTGCTCGCCCTCACATTAGCCGCTTTATTCGCGCGCTGACCGAGCGTCTAATGTGTCATTACCCTAATTTCAATCGGAAAAGAGGTAAAAAAAATTTTTAACATATTAAAATAATTTTAAAAATAGGAAAGGAATCTTACTGAATCGTAACAAGAGTTAATATTGGCTGCACGAGGATTATTAAAATTATAAATTTATTTAAAACATAATTATCCCAAACTTCAATAGTATATCTATTATAAATTATTTTATAACTTTAAATTATAATAATTTACTAGTTACACCTAATTTTTCAGTGTATTTCCAAATATCAAAAAATACGAATCATCAAAATAAATAAATTTATATTATTTTTACGACCATAAATAGAAGTGCTTTTACTTCTAAAAATTTAAACTATGAGATGAGATTTTTTTAATATTTTATTATTAATAAAGACAATAAAGAGTGAATAAATAAATATCTGAACCGCATATTTGTTGCAAATTGTGTCTATGTCATATTACATCTAGTGTCTACATTGTAGACTGTAGACACTATAGTATATAAAACAAAAATGACATTACCTAAACATAGTGAAACTGTGATGAAATTATTGAAGTGTACTGGGTACCTACTCAAATAAACGAAAATCCATTAGTATCGGCTCATTGAAGCTAGAATGTGGTGTAAAATATCTTTGTCAAACAATATAAATTGTATTACTGAGCGATTGGATCTATTTCAGTTTATTTGTATTGGTTATTTAATCATTATCTATCTATACTTATAATAAATCTATAGAGAGGTCAATTCTGTACATGAAATATATTTATATTTTTTATATTTAGTTATTTTGTAATAACTATCAGCGGGTGATTAGTGATCGATACTGATGCCAAAAATGTAATCAGTAAATTTTTTGTCTGTCTGTCTGTATGTTCGTTATAGAAACAAAAACTACTCGACGGATTTTAACGAAACTTGGTACAATTATTCTTCATACTCCTTGGCAGGTTATAGTATACTTTTCATCACGCTACGATCAATAGGGACAGAGCAGTGAAGGGAAATGTTGGGAAAACGGGAGAAGTTACTCGATTTTTAAGCTTCCGTCGCGTGTGCACCCTTAATGGCCACTTTTTAAAATGTAAAAATGTCCACCCGTGCGACGCCGGGACGGGCCGCTAGTCAAATATAAGAACTCTTACAATAAATCTTGTTGTTGATTGTTGATTCACATTTAATTGCGGTTTGTTTTCAATATATTTTAAAAAAAAAACGTATTTTCGAATGATTTTCTTTATAATATCCTTCATAGAAAATATCTGCTTTTAGACCTCGTTTATAATAATTTTGAACTATTGTGTCATTCTTTTCTAGGTTGAAGATTTATGAAATTAAAAGAATTCTGTCAGAAGAGACATCCAGGCTGTTTTTATTACAATTGTGTGATTGTCAATTTATTTCTTATTATATCTCGGCTAGAATTTTACGAAATAACATTAATTTAATGAATTATTCGTAATATTCAATGTCTTTAAAACTTTAATTAAATATTTTAGTTCTGTTATTGTTAACAATTTTTTTTATATTGCAGTACATACCTACTGCATGTATGTATTTAGTACATGTATAATTTTAAATATATATATATATATATATATATATATATATATATATATAGATAGATAATTTATATATATAAATGAATATCTAGTGCACGGATATCTGCTTCCATTTATAAATTGTAATCTAATTAATTTAAAACAAATTTATTAAAAGATGAGTTAGTTTAAATATAAATTTATATATTTTAATTAAATTACAATTTATATAAATATAATTAGTATATATAAATAGGTAATATCATTCACAATTTACGCTTTATTAACCTATCACAGTCAAATTCTTTCTAAAGATAGTCAAAATTATTGTGTATAATTAGGTACTAGAATATTCATAGCTTACAATAGTTTATACCGTTATTGTTTCCAACAAAATTTTTTGGAGAGTGTACTCTTTTTGTTAGTAATCAATTAATTTAAACACATAAAAGAAAAAAAAAAAAACTAAATAAATTTACTCAATAAATTTCGATGTCACGATCAAATTAAAAATATATATTTTGTTAAAATTTTAATGCAATAAAATGTTTATTTTTTTTTTTCGTTGTTTAAAATATTTTAAAAGTATTTTAGCTACATTGGATTTGAGTTGAACACAGAGATTTAACTTTGTGCGTGGATTGAAAGCATTGTTGCGAACTCACGGTTGTTTCATTAAATTTATGTACGGTTTTGAATATATTCAATCTTTATCATGCTTTTGTGGTTATAGAAACAGATACAGTCTGACGAGAATCGTTATTAATATAAATGACGTTTTGATAAAGAAATTTTTGTTTTACGTTCAATTCCAATCATGTTTATTACTTAGTTTTGATATTATGATTATTAGTATATTATTTTTAAATTATATATATATATATATATATATATATATATATATATATATATATATATATATATATATATATATATATATATATATATATATATATATATATATATATATATATATATATATATATATATATATATATACTTGTATAATGTATTGACCCAAAGATATCAGGTTCTATATATTGAAATGATCGGAGTTGCAACAATTTTAAATATGACTCAAAATAGAAAAAAAAGGTCGTAAATTAATTAAAACTTCCGATATAAAAAAAAAACCAAATTATTTACATTTCTGTTGATGTTTTCAAATAATCTTTTGGTGTGAAATCTCTATTTTTACAATTTTTATCATCATTGTTGTTGTGTTCTGATGTATCCGTCATTCACACCTATATCAACAAATCTTCCATATAACTCATCACGAAAAATAGTACTGACTTGCCTGTAGCCATCGATTTCTTTATACTTCTTTTAGTTAAAAAGTGTTACCATTCGGATACTAACAGATTTGCGTTCCTAAAGTACTAAGATAGGAAGTTGTATGAATAGAGATAAGTAAAGAAGATCGCCATATTCTATTACTGTTGTTACTCTATTAATTTCTGCTCATTAAGCCTCTTTTTAGTCCAAAAAATATTTTGGCTTAATCTTAGATTATATAGATGGGGAGAGAGAGCGTCGAGGCTCAAAAATGGGTCAACTTTTTGTCAAATTCGTTTCTTTTATTAATGTTCTATAAACATACGCTGTGTGCGTATCTATGTATATATGTATCTACGTATATATGTATCTTTTAGTATATATATATATTTAATTATTAAATAAATAAAATTAGTATTTACCCATATAAAAGATAAAGAAATTATAAGACAAAACAAATATAGAAGTTATAAAGGAATCACTCATAACTATTTATCATGCAAAATTGTATGTAAAAGTTGACCCGCTTTTCTCTAAGCTTTTCTCGACTCCGCTTTTCTTTGTATGGAGACACTAATCAACTGGCCATATTAAATGACACATATGACCAAAGACTAAAACTCTTCAATACCAACGTTACTTCAGATATTCAAGATATATCTGGATGATACAGATATAGATGTATTATTTAGCATACCTAAATGTATTATCGAAGATTATACATTAAATAAAAATATTTATTTATACTTTAGTTAAACATATTTTGATGTTCTTCATGTAACTTTTAACAATATGTTATTCTAGTTTGAGTACCGAGCAACTGACGTTATGGTCACGTGTGAGTTAATTCGAAATGAAATTTCATTATTAAAACTCTCTCACAAATGAAACCCAAAACTATTGTCCAGTTATTTTTAAATACCATCTTCGTTATCATAATTACTAGATAACTATGGTGATGATAATACTGTTCTGTTAAGTTCATTACCTCAGTTATTCCATAACGAGTCGTTCTAAGTTATGTGAAATCAAATTATATTTCCATTCAGGTGTACTGTGTAATATTTTATTCATTCTTCATAAACTAATATAATTACAATATAATAGTCTGAACTTTCAGAAGGAATTAACGTAATATATATATATATATATATATATATATATATATATATATATATATATATATATATATATATATATGTTTCGCCCATATCCCCCTATGCGTTGCCATTCTTGAGGACTCTGGTGTTATTCCTCTGTACCCAATAAATTCACGGCATATTCCACCCTTCAAACCGAAACACAGCCATGCAAACACAACTGCTTCACGGTAGAAACACGAATAGGACAGAGGTAAAAAAATCTCCCTCTGGTGATCCAACCATAAGACAAATTATCATTGTCAAATACATAATATGACTAATAATGGAAAACAACCATTTAATAATTGAATATTCAGATTTTTTTATTAATTCTATTTAGAAAGTATTTCTATAAAGACTTTAATAAAACTTAGTTAAATATTGTATTGAAACAGTCTAAAGTATTCCAGGAAGTAAACAGTTAAATATATATTACATGTTATGTAAGTAAAGAGATCTCTAGTTAAGTAAAAATATTTTTAGTTTCAACAAAAAAAAAGTACTTCGAAAGTACTTCGAATAAATCTAACTCGAATTAAAGGATTATGCGACCGGAACAAATTTAGAATAGGTAAATATTTCGACAACGATGATAGAGTGCGGATTTTATTTAAAATAAAACATCGATGTTTACATCCTGCAGAATATTTATACGGGTTCACTTTTAGAAAACAATCCAGAAATATGACGTTGTCTTTTTTTTTAGAATGGCAAACAAGCTGACGGCCCACCTGATTGAAAGTAATAACCGTCGCCTATAGACATGAGCAGTACCATGGACATAACAGTACACACACATACTGTTTCGCCCATGATACCCCCCAAGCGTTGCCATTCCTGAGAACTCAGGTGTTATTCCTCTGTACCCAGTAAATTCACGCCATATCCCACCCTTCAAACCGAAACACAGCCATGTAAACACAACTGCTTCACGGTAGAAACACGAATAGGACAGAGGTACCCAAGCAATCGACTTTTGTACAAAGTCTCCCTCTGGTAAAATTTTTTTATTTCTCCAATTTATACAAACAGTTCTAGTTCCGCTTGTAAACCTTTTATTATTAAAAAAATTGTAACTATTATTATTATTTATTAATTTTTCTATTAAAAGTCTCGTAAGAACATGTTTTTTTTATGGGTGAAAATGGTATGGTAACCCCGCCTGCGCTAACGGGATACGCTGGCGGGGCACCAGTGAAGGGTGATAGGTGAGAATGAAAACAGGCCAGTTAGCCAATCATGATGAATTCATCAGGAATTAACCATGATAGTTTCCAGGGAGAACCGCGAGGAGGTCGACCTGGTTGGGTATATTGCTAGCAATGGGATTCTTAGTCTCCATTACTAACAATCCCTTTTCCAGTAAGGGCATACTATATTAGTTTAATTTACTTATATTTTAGTCTAGAAAGCTCGCCTAGTTTCGGGACCATCCGGAACCCTTACTCATGAATAAAACACACATAAATTAAACTGGTAGTTATTACATTAAAATATTAATTTTTAATATTTATTTATTAATTATCGCTATTAATAAAAATTAAAATGTAAAGGTATATAATCTTTTATTAAATAATACAATACTTTTGTCAGTTTGTTTAATTCCGTTCTGAAAGTTTAGAATTTTATGATAGCTATATAATAAAACGCTTTATAATTTTATCACGTAATGCTATTAAAAGCTGAAATATTCTAAATTACCATAAATTTATATAATATATTACATATAGTTAGAGTTTAAGTAAGAACTTAATAGAAATCACATAGTTAAATAAAGTACTCGTAATACCTACGTTTATAACACACCGGTTAAAATAGTTCAAAGGAAAAAAAAAACGAAATAAGATCTAGTTAGTTTAATATAATTAAATTAAACTTTAACATATGGTAAATAATAATAATAATAATAATAACGCAATATTTTATTTGTTTATTAATATTACGTCAATTGCGTAATTTTAATGTAAATTGGTTATAATAAACACGTAATCTTTTTAATTTATTCTGATTTGACTTAATGAACTCGTTTTTTTTTTGTATTTTGCTTATAATTTTAACAAGTAAAGTAATTAAATTTAATTTATTTATTGCATTCATTAAAATTATATAATGAAATATGTTAATAAATAATAAAATATATTGTAGAACCTGTCGGGAACAGCAAATTATATATTAATTATAATAATTTAGAGTATATTCTTTAATTTTATTAATTAGTAATATTTAAATAAATTGTTATTTTGAATTTTAATATCTACGAGTACCCATATATATATATATATATATATATATATAAATGTTTTTAAAAAGAACCTTCATGATATGTTAATAAATAAATGTTATTATAGCCTGGACGAATATATCAATGATAAAGATAAATAGTCATCATTTGTAAAAAATTATGTCTCATATAAATATATTTTGTTTCACTGTATAATTTTAAATGTTATGTTTTGTATACTGTTAACTGTTCCATATATTGTACGCTTATATAGCAGGACATGGAGATACTATTTAACTCATGTAATACCTTAATTTAACCTGTGATCCACAATAAAGTCTTTGTA